CAAGTGGATCTGACACCATGTCTCAACCCAAAACTTTAAGGCATTGGGTTGAGACGTGGTGTCGGACCTACTTGTATACTCTTCACTTAGCCTATTACCAACCAATGTGAGACTCATCACACTTAAATATCCCAACATACCCTATAATTTTTTTCTAAATCACTTATCATTTTATGATTTTTTTATCAAAGTTCACTCTTAACACTGTCCAAATATTAATTAATCTACCTATTATACCCTTACTAGAATAAGAGAATATACTTGTATGACAAAAAAATAAAAAATAAAAGAATACAAGGAAACTTACAATATTTATAAAAAAAGACAAAAAAAATAGAAGGATGAAAAAAAAGAAAAATAAATAAAACCAAATAGGTTTAGAATGGATTTGAATGAAAAATAAAACATAAAAGGATAAAGGATTAAGAGCTCGTTTGTTTGGACTTTTAGAAAAAATAGTTTTTATCTCTTTCTTATTTAAAAGTATTTTTTTATAAAATTTAAATTTATTTATATATTTATAAAAATATTTAGTTTTTGAAAAAAAAAAAATTGATTTTTGACTTCTGCTTTTTTTTAGAAGCTACAATTTTTAACTTCTAAAAAAAGCAGATTTTTAACTTTTTTTGTGGCTTCTACTTTTTTAAAAAACAAACATCCTAACGAACTTAAAGTGAGAAGTGTTTTTTTTCCTTAAAAAAAAAAACAACTTTTGAAGAAGAAAGAAGTTCATCCAAATGGAGCCAAGAAAAGCATAGAAATATAAGGGATTTAAAGCAAAATTATAGGAGGATTTTTGAACTTAAAAAAAAAAAACTCAAATACGACCAGATTATTAAATAATGGATTAAATTAGTTGATCCAGTTTAAATTTTCAAATATTTGATACATGATCAAAATTATTCTTAATGGGGTTTGAATTTCTTTTTAAAAAGTTTGTACTTCAAAAGTTTGAAGATGAAAATTTGAGGGCTTATTTTTTTGTAATTTTAAACTGATTTGAATATTAAGTAATAGAATCTATTTTTTTTAAGAGAAATAGAATTTATTTTTACTAATATAAAACCTAACATTTGATCACAACCGCGCAAAAAAGAAAAAAAGAAAAGAAAAACTAACATTTAAGAGAGAATACTCGGACCAGCTTTATAAAAGCGATCTGTCCAAACATTTATTTCTGTTATCACTTCTTATTTCGGTCACAATATTGAAAGTGATTTTGATGCAGACTTAATTCATTTCTTTATTGCCTCTGAGCAACAGGTGAAATAAATTGTAAATATATTGGCAGAGAAAATAAGAGATCACATACCTATTTAATTTGGGAACTTATTAGAATATAAAATAAAAGTATGATATACAGTCATACAGATTAATATCCTACATTGACCAACGGGAAATTAAAAGTATGATATCCAGATAAAATTCGGTAATTGTACTTACCCATAATGAAAATTATATGATATCTTTGGGGTTCAATTTTTGTCGGTATAAATATTTTATATATTGTTATTAAATTCTCCCATTCAGTCCCATTTTAGCTATTTAGTCAGTGTTATTTCGTTAAAAAAATTATTGAAATAATAAGATAATGACATTGTCACTTGCTTCTTGATAAATTTATTAAATAGCTTCAATTATTGGTAAGTATAACTAAAATTAACTAAATTACTCTATTAAAATACTTGAAATATTGTAAATTTATTAATATTTTTTATTATATTCTTATTTACCAAAAAAAAATGATCAAAAAGTTTTAAAAATAAAGCTTCCTGATTTTTAATTTTAACGTATAAAGTAAAACAAATTTTTTATACTATTCATGTATCACTACGTTATTAAAAAATTTAACTCTCAAAATAACTACCTAAAAATTTATACTATTTTAATAATACAACAGTTTATGATTGAATTACAGTGTAAAATTTTCTATAGTGCATCATAATTCGACTCAAACCAGTTTTAAAAAATAGTTAATGACTTTTAGAGTTTATCAAATAATTTGGCAATGCATGATTAAATAACCGTATTTGATTATATAGTATTGCTATGTTAGTTAAAATTAAATCATTATATATAATAAACATATTTTGACTATTGTTCGGCCGAATGCATGACACTAAACCAAAAATTATAGTTTTCAGTCATGACACAATTTGTTTTACTTATCCTTATCACATAAAATTATATGAATTGATCTAACCCTTATCCTGATATATATAATCGAATCCATGACTCAACTTTGATACAAGTGTTGAATTAACCGCTTATGGATTATTAGTTAGGGTGCAACTCTTTGTACCTTATCCTTCTTAGTCAAACCATATAATTCAGTTTGAATTCTACCCTTGCCAAGCATTCCCAAAGCACCTCAACCACAACAATAATTAATTCATTTTATTATGATCCTCACACATCAAATTCATTTAATAATTTATTACGATAAAATGATAATAATAAAAAATATAAAATGTTACTAAACAATAACATAGTAATGATCTTGATTATCTAAAAATAAAAAATATGCATTTGAGAATTCAAATTTTCGTTTTAGCCTTTGATTTTTTCGTGCATTGGACTTAGTTTTCACCTCTGTTTCATGTGAACAAATTTTGTCCTGTGATCATGGTTAAACCATCAAACGTCAAAATTAAACATTATTATTTTCACATATTTAAGTAATTATAAGGGAATAGCATTTCTCTTGTGAAAAGTTGACAATGATTTGTAGTTTACAGAAAGAAAATTAATCAACAAACAAAATACTATTTTAGGAGAATAAAAATTGAAAAAACTATTCTTATATTGTTGAAGAATAGTTTTGTTTCCTACAAATTCGTCTATTTTCATTTTTTTTATGAGATAGGTTATTTTGCCTACCTTTGTCTACCCCTTTCAATATCGTTTGATTACAATTTCATCAAACGGTCAATATTTGTGATATAAAATAAACCTTTTTTTTTTTTTACTTTCTTCCTCCTCAATTTCTTCCACACATTTTCTCTCTCCTCCCTTTTCCCTCTTCCTCTACAACCAAGACCGAAAATAATGAGAAAATAGAACGAAAAACACATTCGACCATCAATTAAAAATAATTCATATAATTCTATTTCATCCGGATCTAATTATCCAACGCAAGTCTCCTCTCTTCCTCGCAACCATTGTAAAAAATGCAAGATTAATCGTTCCATTATTTTCTGTATTTTCTCTTCAAATATAGAAAATAATAAGTTTGAGGTTTTTTTTATTAAAAACACATACTCATTGATCAATATATAGCTATTGATTTCATTAACACGCTCGATTCTTATTAACATGAGGGGACCATGAAATTCCTGGGAAGTTCTTCAAACATACTGTAATTCATTCCAGTATCCCTTTTGTAGAGCTATGGTAAGGAATGTGCAAATCACTTGGAAATTTTTTATCGAAGAGATCCACTCGTCCGAGTTTCTTTCCAACCCTTATTGTTTTTACAGAAAAAATACTATCAGGTTCAGATTAACATATTTTAATTTTTTATAAATTAAATATTTTTAAAATAATATTTTCTCAAATATGGACCGTTAGATTAGATTGTAATCAAACGGTAATGAAAGGAATAAGCAAAATAAGAGTATGCCACAAGATAAAATATATCCATGAAATTAATAAGCCCCGTAAAAATTTTAGATAATCAAGTCTTATATTGTAGCATATGGAAACTTTGTGCAAATTTTATGCAACTAATTTTTCGAAAATTGAGCTGCCTTTTTTTATTTTTATGATGGGCTCTATTTCTTTTTTATCTGTGATATGAAAAATATTATTTGCAATAATATAAGAGGTGATAAATCCTAAAAATTTAGTTAAAAGGATTTATGATACTATATTCACAAAATCAAACTAAGGACAGAGTTATTGTACAGCATATCAGTACCATACCATCAATAAAGCAGGAGTTGAAGGTTGTCTAACCGTTAGGATGACAACATCTGTACAGATAAAATAATATATATATATAAAAAAAAAACAGAAGAAAGGTGAAATAAACTTAGGGTTTTATAAGAGTTATGTTGTAAGAAAAATAATTGTGTAATGTTATAGAGATTCGTTTTGCGTGCCTTAATTTTTTATTTATTTTTTTGTTTTAAAAAGTGTGGGCCCACAAAATATTGTGAGTGTAGAAAAGTTTGTTGTGTTATGTTAAATGATAAAATGAAAACCCATAAACTTAATTTTGATGGACTACACTTACTTTAATGAGCAAATATTAAGGCGCATATAAGGAGTCATTCTCCTATATCTATTTTAAATCATAATTATAGATGATTTTATTCTTCTACACTATCACAACTCACATAGAGATGAATGTGTTTGTCTCACACATTACAGGGTCAATTTGCGAACAATGCATGTATTTATGATCGTCACAACAATTAGTTAATTTTTTATTGTATTTGAAATTTTTATTTAATTATTTTTTCTTTTGAACTTAGGCTTTCTTAATATAAAAAATAGCTAAAAAACTAAATTCAAAATAGATGTTATGTGATAAAATTATGCGATAAAAACCATTTATCTATCATAAAAGGCAGTAAACATATAAATTTAATATGAAAAAAAAGGTTATGGAGCACGTGTTATTACATATGAATTAGCATTTCTGCTCCGAAATATTTACAATCATTCTCTTTCAATAATAATGATTTTTGTTGCAATATTTTTTAGTACGTTCGTTTAATAGTTATTATGATAACAATAATTAATTTTCTTTAATTCTCTGAGTATTATCAGGTATATATTAATTTCTCATAAATTATATGTTTAAAGAACCTTAATTGCCTTCCCCAAAATGAAGATATGTTTATACAGTAACCGAAAGTTTTTAATGCAATAATATATACGATTTAATTTCGATGACTGTACAAAAAAAAAAAAAAAAGAGTTATATAATATTGTCACACACCTTTCACCCTTCCCATAAAGCTGCAAATATCATTCTCTTTAGCACACTCTCTCTCTTTGTTCCGCTTTTTTCTCTCTCTCTCTCTCAATCGTACGCCTACAAACGCACACACTAGTCTAAGCTAAAGTCACCCTCACCCACACTCACTTCCTCCACTATTCGAAACCGTTTTTTTCCTCTCTCTCTCTCTCTCTCTCACTTATGCTTCTATGCATCTATGAACTTCTCTCCATTCCTGTCGCTACCTCTTCCTCTTCTCTAGTTTCTTAGCAGTTACCGCTCTCAGCATTCACTCGCTCTCACATTTTCTCTCATTTTTGTTTTCTGTTCCCCTGATTCTCCATTTTCCCCCAAATGGAAAAGAAACAGGGTTTCTTCTCTGCTCTCAAAGAAGAGGTGGTTCGCGGTCTCTCACCCTCGCGTTCTCGGGTCAACAGCCCCGCCCGAACAGCCTCACCCATTGCGGGTCTCCTCAGGAGGAAGAAGCACCACGCCAACACCAACGCAGACATCTCCGTCGCAAGATCCACGAGTTTGAGGCCGTTAGGGGAGACCCTCACGCCCTTGATCGAAGGACCCGACCCGGATGGAGCAGAAAGTGGGGATCCGAAGAGAATCGGGTCGGGTATCGGCCAATGGATGAAGGGCCAACTGTCACGTGCTCCTTCCGTTTCGTACAAAAGGTCTGATCTGAGGCTTCTTCTGGGTGTAATGGGTGCGCCACTTGCTCCTGTTCATGTCTGCGCCACCGATCCCTTGCCTCATCTCAGCATCAAGGACACTCCCATTGTCAGTTCTCTCTTTTTTCCCGCACACCCATTGTCCCAATTTTCGTTTTTTTTCTCCCCAATAAGAGAATACTTAACATGCTTTTGGTGTTTTGCTGTTAATTGAGTACTCGAGTGAATGAAATTTCTCTCTCTCCCTCTCTCTCTCGCGGATGCATGTGCTTCGGATTTTTGGACATTTTCTTCTCATTGTCTTGTTATGAATTGGGGGAAAATGAATATCTTTCTCTCGAGTCGAGTCGCTGAGAATATGGTTTTTCTGGTAAATTACATGGTGTTTTATGCACCTTGTCGTGTTTTGATTCCGTGGAAGATTCCGTTTATATTGGATGTTGCAATTTCTAGTTTTATTTGCGGTTGTGTGTATGTATGTGCTTGGCTGAAATGGTTAACCCTTTCTATAATTTCAGTTCAAGAGTTGTTCTGATTAGAACAGGGAACCAAAAACTTCTTTACCCGGTTCTATGTGCTATGAGAATTTTAGCTTGGTAACTCAAATAATGTATAACTAAGTTCTTAATGTGATGTCTGTTTTCTAGTTAATGGGACTGGTTTTTTTTTTTAAATAAAAAAATTCATTTACTCTAAATTTGTGAAATTCACTTAATTTCAGCTGAGCTAATACTAACTTTTTGATGTTTTGTCCATGGGTACCCTTGCAGGAAACTTCATCTGCCCAGTACATATTGCAGCAGTACACAGCAGCGTCTGGAGGGCAAAAATTGCAGAACTCTATACGAAATGCATATGCAATGGGAAAGGTTAGAATGGTAGCTTCTGAATTTGAAACTGCAACTAGGGTAGTGAAGAACAGGAATGTGTCTAGGTGTGCAGAGTCTGGTGGATTTGTGCTCTGGCAGATGAATCCGGACATGTGGTATGTAGAGCTTGCAGTTGGGGGAAGCAAGGTTCATGCTGGCTGCAATGGCAAACTTGTTTGGAGGCACACACCTTGGCTCGGTGCTCACACAGCAAAGGGTCCTGTGAGGCCTTTGCGCCGTGCACTTCAGGTTGGATTTTATTTTCCAATTTTTCGGCTGCAGTGTGCCATTTTTTTTCTTTCTATTTTAGTGTTCTGATCCCCATTTCTCTCTAATTTCTAAATGTGTGTATATTTGTTTAAATAGGGTCTTGACCCTAGAACCACTGCAAGTATGTTTGCTGATGCCAGATGCATAGGAGAGAAGAATATCAATGGTGAGGATTGCTTCATACTTAAGCTCTGTACGGACCCTGAAACATTGAATGCTCGAAGTGAGGGCCCTGCGGAGATTATAAGGCATGTCTTATTTGGCTACTTTAGCCAGAAGACTGGACTTCTTGTTCACATTGAGGATTCTCATCTGACCCGCATCCAATCTAATGGGGGTGATGCAGTTTACTGGGAAACCACAATCAATTCATTCCTTGATGATTACAGGCCTGTTGAAGGGATCATGATTGCCCACTCCGGCCATTCTGTGGTAACTCTTTTCAGGTTTGGGGAGATGGCCATGAGCCATACTAAAACAAAAATGGAAGAAGCCTGGACGATCGAAGAGGTTGCATTCAATGTTCCAGGTCTTTCGGTAGATTGCTTCATTCCCCCAGCTGATTTGAGAACAGGTTCTGTGGGTGAAGCTTGTGAACTTACTCAAGATGAAAGAGGAAAGAACTCACTATCAGTACATCGGGCCAAAGTTGTTGCACTGGAGAAATCGCATAATTGCAGCATTGATAACATGATCTGGAAGATGGAACTCTAACGATGGGGGTAGGATCAATTCAAGGCAATTGTTAATAGCAGTCATTAGTTTTTGACTACTAACGTTTAGATGTTAGAGTAGGTGTTCAGTTGGTTCTTTGTGGAAGTTTGTTTATGCCTCTATATACTCTGTAAATAGAGCATAAAAATTCACGGGTGTTATGCAGACCCGAGTGAATATTTATACTCGATGCAGAATCCAACTATGGAGTTGGAGCTCGTTTTTCCATTTCGGAAGAGAGCTAATGGAGGTTAAATTTTTAGCTTACCTTCTATAAATGAGGGAAGGTGGCTAAGCTTTGGTATAGTAGGCCCATTAAACTTTTGTTACTCAGCAACTTATCTAAGTGTCGGTGGTGGTAATATTAAAGAGTCTGCCATTGACCACAGTCAGTTTGACGCTAACAGCTTCTATGTGGTGTAGAAGTTCTTTCTGTGTTTGGAAAGGTAACGAGGGTGTTTTTGATAGCTAATGGAGTAGGGTTACAGAGACAATACTCAGTCCTAATTGATGTACCCAACATCTCTAATATGCTTCCGGTTGTGTTATGATGCTATTTTGTCAGTGCTCCTGAAAATGAAACACTCTATTCATTTCTGTCAGCTAATGAATGCTCGTGATTGATATATGTTATCTTCACTAATTTTAATTTACTTGTTAACGTTTGTTTGCATTTGTAACAAGAGTGTATGGTATTTGATATTTCCCCAATTTATTAATGTCTGGGTAATTTTGTAGAAAAAAAATGTAATTAATCACCCGTTTTTAACTATATTTTCTCTCTCTTCGATTATAATTGATAATTAAAATATCAAACATAATTACTCTTTTATAAAATGGTGAAACTCTAAGGAAGTTGAGCTTTATGAATGAATGTGCATCTTGAACTCCCTAAAATAAAAGAAAAATGACAGATGGGACTTGCTATCTCTGTAGGAAAGACAGAAATGAGTCCTGTAACATAACAAACTTTTAACCCATCAGAGGGCCGTTTGGTTGAGGAGAGATTTGAAATTTTTTGAATACTAAGAAAATGGTTGAAAAGTGAGTTAGGTAGGAAAATGTAAAAAAAGTAATACTAAGGAAATGTAATTGATAGGGAAATGGTTGAAAAGTGAGTTAGGTAGGAAAATGTAAAAAAAGTTGTTTGGTTTGAACAAATTTTACCGGGCAAATTAGGTAAGATTTATAAAATTTATGTTTGGTTTGAGGTAAAATATAGATGGGAAAATAAGTGACAATTATGAAAATATCCCTGTTATTAAAAATTTTAAAACGAAAAAGAAAAAGAAAAGAAGATAGAGAACAGAGACAATGGAAAATTTCAAAACGAAAACGAAAATGCCAACACCAAATTTGCTGTGAGGAACTGCAATCGTATAGAATTTGCAGTGTGTGAGGGACAGAGAAAGTGCATGATGAGGTTGAGAAAAGGTCCAAGCATGGTAATCTGCTTGCGGCTGACCTTCTGGACCCAGGCCTTGATACGCATAGAATTTGCAGCGTGTGAGGGACAGAGGAAGTGCATGATGAGGTTGAGAAAAGGTCCAAGCATGGTAATCTGCTTCCGGTTGACCTTCTGGACCCAGGTCTTGATATGCCTGCTGCTCACAAATGCTGAAGACTTTGGGCCTGTTTGATTGTGTTCTGGTTTTTTTGTTCTTAAAATTGTTTTGTAAAATGGTTATGGAAACAGTAGTTTTCTATATTTTTTTCTTTTTGAAAGTTAAAAACCAAAACAGAAAACAAAAACAACACAGACATGTTCTCTAAATTTGATTTTAAAAACAAAAAAATAGTTATAGTTTTCAAAACATTTTTTACAAAACAAGTCTTACCAAACGAGTTTTTTAGTTTTTTTATTCTGAAAACTAAAAAACTGTTTTGCAAAAAAGAAATCAAACAGAGCCTTTAGTTTAGTCATTTTCAGTTCCGTTTTTCTCTTATTTCTGTAGTTTCTTTGGTTCTGGTTTTTTGTTCTGTTTGTGGTTCTCTTGTTCGTGGAGCTTTGCCCCTTTGGTGTACCCAAAAAAAAAAAAAGGTCCATAGGAATCGTCGTCATTTGATGATTTAGCTGCAGAAGCAAAACAAAGAAAAATGGTGAAGACTCGTAGGAACAGAATATATAGTAAGTAACCAAATCAAAGGATATATTTGGTATGATTTGTTGTGGCCCATGTGATTTAGCCGGCTAAAATCAAAAACCACCTCTCACTTTGCTTTTTAAACAGTACCGATGCATAGTTAAATGGAGCAAAACTGAAAATGGTATGTATCATGTTTCTCTGGGTATTGAGCCATTTCTCCCTCAACCAAACGCATGCTTCCAATAATCTCAACATTATTTGCATGGGGTAATTCAAAAATCCCCCAACCAAACACCACCTAAAAATTCTAGGTAGTGGATCTTGTGAATGTAATTTTCCAGTCTCTGCAAAAGAGAAGTATGCACTGTGTGGAAGCTTCCCTCTTTTTTCGATGGCCTTGGTCAAATGAGCTTAGGAAAATAAAGAGGAAACTAATGGGGAATATAACCCTTTTTTTAAGGGATTATATATTTTTTATTGTAGAGATAATTTTATTTTTTATTAATACATAAAAGTGTGTAGAACCATATAAATTAAAGAGAAAAATAGAAAAAATAATAATATGAGTATCATATACCTTTATATGTGAAATAGAGTTATCGTTAACATAAAAATATTAATTTTTTTTAGGATTATATACTTCTTCTATCACTGCAGATGAGAAAAAGTGCAGCAATACTTATTTTTATCATGATACGCGTCTGAATCCTGATGTGTTTTTTTTTAGGCCAGAATACGACTTCGTATCTTAGTGTTAATAATTTGCTACAACTTTTTTCATTAGCAGCAAAATGAGAAACAACTAAATTTTTTTTAATATAGTAAATAGAAGCAAGAGAAACTCGGAATAAAGTAAATTGGTTAGGTTTCTGATGAAGGGCCTGCGGGTATGTGTCTGCGTGAGCGTGATTGTGGAACGACCACGAGGTTCGATGCTTCCAAAGCCCCAGCTGATGTAACCAGATTCCTTTTGCTTTCCTTTATTTATTTTTTTATCTCGTAAATATATTTTTTTTCTTTTTTGCTTTTTGAGGTATTGTCTTTCTCTTCTTTATTTTGTGAAGAATAAATTTGATTCCAAATAAAGGATAATTGTTGATTGGCAAGAATCAGCAGATATAATTTGGAGTCCAATTTAGAAATTTGACATAAGTGTCAAAGGGTCATGCTCTTTCTCTATATATATATGAAAAATATTTTTTAAGAAACTTGAGATAAATTTATCTGTTATTTCAAAATTACGTCATTTTATTTATTTATTTCTTTATATTAATTGATTCATTATGATTTCCTTTTTCTCTCTCTTCCTTTATCACCATCGATCCATCTTTGTACAGTTAAGATTTAGTAATAAAAATAAGATTATCTCAAACAGCTTGAGAAACGATAAGTCCTATATGGGAAAAACATTTCTCTAGCAACTTGAGATAACTTTATCTCCGGTAATCCCAAAAATACGTCATTTTATTTATTTATTTTCTTATATTAATTTATTCAGCTTTGAATGGTTATAATTTCCTTTTTCTCTCTCTTCCTTTATTACCATTGATTCATCTTTGTACGGTTATGATTTAGTAGCCGGAGATAAAGTTATATTCGGCAGCTTGAGAAATGATAAACCATATATATATATATATATATATATATATATATATATTGGTGGAAGAATATTCCAAAAGCGGTCAACAGACTAGAGTTTTATTTTATTCCATTTATATTTTTTTTACCTTGGTGATGGTTGGTCCGTTGGATCATGTTATCTAGTGTGCATCTGATTGTTTTGCTTCTTCTTCTTTTTTTGGTTTTCGGTTTTTTAAGAGTGATTGTGATACTCTAAAGTAATGAGTTACTCTGGAAACCTACCTTCTGGATAAAACTCCTTGAGCCTTCGTTTTCTTTCTTATCCAATTTCAGCATCATGTTTTACTTTTACAGCACATTCTTACATTTTTGTGGGGCATAGTCAAATTTGTACACATTTATGACCATCACCACCCCATGCCTGCTCAATTAATTGATCATGTACGGTTAGAAAAACACGAATTTGACTCTTGGTTGGTTGGACGGTTTATAAGAAACTTAGCTACAACTTCTCTAATTACAAAAGTTAAAAAAAAACAATGAAAATCTCGTTTCATGGGGTCCAATTATAGACGAAGATTGTCAGATTTGTGAGAATGCTGTGAAAAAGAGCTTGATGACTACTTCTTTTCCTTAAACTTCAATTTTTAAATCCATCCAAGCTAGTCACGCTTGAGTCGAGTCCGGGTAGCTTTTCTTTTTCTCTTGTTTACCATTTTAAGATGTAAATGTAATTAACTCACTGATGTAGACAATGCAACCAAATTTTGTTTAGCTGGTCCTTATAACTAACCATCTTTTTCTTCTTCTTCTTCTTTTAGTACAAATAACTAACCATCTTTCATTTCCTAGATTGGGAGTACTCACATTATAGAAAAGTAAGTTTGTAAAAGAAATTGTCATTCCTAAGCCAAGTGAACCAACAAATGAATTTTGATAGGTACTTGTAATGATAACTATGTATGCACGTATATAATTGCCATAAAGCTGCATAAAATAAAATAAGAATTGAAAATTCGACATAGCTAACGGGGTAAATGAAAAAAACTTCAATGCATGGTTGGGTGTTCTTTTTTATTAAATAGAGAAAAATTTTAAGACTTAAAAAAAATATGGGTAAAAAGAGAAGAAAAAAATTCTCTATTTAACAAAAGGAAATACCAAGCTCGGTAGTGCATTAAGAGGGCGTTTGGTAGAGTAGAATTTTTTTTTTGTCCATGAATTTCAATTTTCAAAAATATAATTTTTACATTCAGTTTACGATAATATCTAAAAAATTAAAATTTTAAAAAATTCAACTTCCTGAAAATTCTGAAAAAAATCTCGTACCAAACAACACGTGAAACTTTTCTTGGATCAAATTGAGTTGAAGGTTTGATTTAAGGGAAATGCAATTTTTTTAACAGAAGAAGTGATTTATTTCTCACGAACAATAAATAATGGTGGGGTCACTTAAAAAAATAAAAATAAATTATATTTTTTTTTATGAGTTAGTGGCAAAAAAAATGTATTTTCTCATGTAATAGAAAAAATACATCTCACTTGATTTAATTAGCTGTCTAGATGTTGAGTTTGTATTGGTCATACAACCTTGTACCAAAGAAGTTTGTCTCATGTAGTACAACTACCCCTACTCTGCTCGTTATCAGGCCAGGACCTTCTAATATTATTGTAAAGAATTTTGGATACGTCATCCTAAAAGTTAGTTCAAAAAGTGAGAGTGTCCAAGATCTTATAAATTCTACATTAGTTGCATATATAATCAATGTGGGACTATATATCTCAACACGCCCCCTCACATTGGGCTTGAAGAGTGGACAATGGAACAGACCCAGCCTACCTGTGCTAAGAAACGCCACAAGAGAAAGGCGAGACTCTGATACCATATAAAGAATCTTGGAATACATCACCCCAAAAGTTAGCTCA